CGCAGGCAGAGGCGGGCGGGCAGCGGCGGCGGCGGCGGCGGAGCGAGGGGCAGCAGGCGGCGGAGCAGGGGCAGCAGAAGCAGCAGGCGCAGGGGCAGCGGGGTGGCGTGGGCGGGGGCGTGCAGGTTGAGGTGGGGGACACAGGTCGACCAGCAGCAGCAGAGGTGGCTGCCAGCTCACCGCAGCGGGAAGAGCGGGATCAGCAGCAGCAAGAGCAGCAGCAGCAGGAGCAGCAACAGGCGGCGGGCGACGAGCAGCAGCAGCAGCAGCAGCAGCTGCAGCAGCAGCAGCAGCAGGCCGGGGCGTCTCCAGCCCAGCAGCGGCCCGGTTCGGCGCTGCCGGCGCTGCAAGAGCAGCAGGAGGAGGGGCAGTCGATAGCTTCGCAGCAGTCGCTGCCGTCGACGCCTTTCCAGATGCTCTTGCAGCGTGAGGCAGAGGAGCAGCAGCAGGAGCAGCAGCAGCAAGAGAAACAGCAGCGGCAGCAGCACTTGCTGACTGGCAACGGCTCGGCCCCGGCCAACGGGACAGGTGCGGCTTGGCGTGCCTGCGGGCACACAATTTACGCCAGCACACCCACGCGCCCTCGTCCGGCTGCCCCGGGCACCGTGCTGACGCCCCGCCTGCACGAGCCACTTGTGCCTTGCCCCAAAGCGCGTGCAGCGGGCCCGGTGCTTTCACCCTACCTGACCCGCCGCGCTCGGCCCCCGCCCACACCCACGCACGACCGGATGGCCCCCTGCCCCGCCGCAGCTGTCGCCGCGGCCGCGTTGGCGGGGGCTGGCGGCTCTGGGCTGTCTTTGGAGCGCTCCATTTTCGCAGACCTCAAGGCAGCACCCTCTCTAGCAAGCACGTGGGTGCCATTTTCATGCTTTTGAAGTTAGGATGCTGGTGGATGAGTCAGCAGGGTGCGCGCTCGGCGCCACGCGGCTTGCGGGGCGGGCGGCTGCCGCGCAAGCGCAGGCCGGTCCCCTCAGGCCGCACCCAGCGCCTCGCGCGTGCCGAGCGCCCGCCGCGAGGCGTGCGCGTGCTGTGGTGCGGGGCCTGCGCGGCGCGCGGCAAGGCGCTCCCGCCGACCGCTTTTTTGCCCCATCGCTCCGCTGCAGGCCGTCCTACACCATCCAGCCGGGCTCGTCCCGCCAGTCATGCGCCCCTGTGGCCTCAGGCGGCGGCGCCGCGCCGGGCGCGGTGCGTGGTTGCATATGGGGCCTGCAGTCTATCGCGGGCGACTGGGATTATCTATTAGATGGGCGTCTTCGTCACTGCAACTGCCAAAGTTTGGAGGAAAGCCCCACACTGTTTGGGGGCCAAACGCGATTTGGCACCCCAGCATTTAGGGCTGTCTTCGCCATTCGCCATTCCAACGCCCCTCGCACGCAGGCGAGCGGCGGAGGCGCCGCAGCTGCGGCGGCGGGCGGCGGCAGCGGCGGCGGCGGCCAGGGCTTGCCGCCCGGCGGCAGCGGGGTGCTGGAGGAGCAGGGCGGCCGGACGCGGTCGATCCTGCGGGGCTCCTCCAGGTGCGGCCTGGAGATCGTCTCATCAGATAGCCTGGCATGCTCGCGTCGTGTGCAGACAGCACCCATGAGCATGTGGTGTGCATGTGGTGTGCATGCGGTGTGCATGTGGTGTGCATGCGGTGTGCATGTGGTGTGCATGTGGTGTGCATGTGGTGTGCATGTGGTGTGCATGTGGTGTGCATGTGGTGTGCATGCAGTGTGCATGTGGTGTGCGTACAGTTTGCACGCTGTACTCACTCTGATACGTTGACCAGAATGCCATCGGGTGCCTGGCCTGGGACACACCCGTTGTGCAGAGCAGAGCGGGCACTCAATCCACCGCGCACATCTACATTGTAAACAAACACACACACACACACACGCACACATACACACACACACAAATGAACACACACACCTTTGTTTGCCCTGCACCGTTTCCCTGCCACGCCGACAGCATCCAGCCCGACGGCAGCCGCGTCCTGTCTGGCGGCAAGGCGGTGCATTTCCAGGTGGCGCGCGCCACAGGCGTCACCTCCAACCGCGACTGGGGCCTGCTCTACGCCAGCCCAGAGCTGCTGCGCAAGCGCGAGTGAGGGCGGCCGCGCGCTCGCTCGTGGGGGGGTTGATGTGCGCCCGTGCGGCGGCGCCACCATCCTTCGGCGCGTGTGTGGCTGGAGGGGCGGCGCCGGCGAGCGTCAGCGGCTGACTGTAACCTGAGACGCATCGTCACGAGCCCGCACATCAGCTGTGCCGGATGCATGTACTCCTGCTCCCCCTCTCCCCAACACACCCGCCCCACCACACCCACACACACACACACAAATGCACGCACACACGCACGCACACGCGCGCGCTAAAACCGTTCTGCCCTCTCACCCCCCACCCACCCAGGCTGACCCCTAAGGCGGACGTCTTTGCGTTTGGTGTGCTGCTCTACGAAATGCTGTCGCGGCGGCTGGTCACGTGGAACGACGACAGCGAGCAGGCACAGGCCTACGAGCGCAGCGTGTGAGTGCCGAGAATGGGCCGCTGCTGCCGCTGCCGCTGCCGCTGCTGCTGCTGCTGCTGCTGCTGCTGCTGCTGCTGCTGTTGCTGTTGCTGCTGTCGCTGCCATCAACGTGGCTAGGACGCGCGTCGCCGCACGTGCATGTGGCGCCGCCACAGCCCTGACCCTGATCCTGCTTGCCGTGCTGCTGGGCGGTACAGGCCCCCTGCCCTGCCTCGTCCAAGGAGGCCCTAAACCACGGTCTCTTGCGCTAATCAACATCGCCGCCGCCAGCACAACCACCCCTGCGCGCCCGCCCTTGCCGCCGCCCGCACCGCGTCGCTCGTATTTCTGCGCAGCCGCGGCGGCCGCATCAACGTGAAAAAGCACGGCGACGAGTCTCTGCAGCTGCTGGCCTACGCCGAGCGCGTCGCGGGTGCGACCCCTTGACTCTCGCCGCTGCCGCCCCTTGCGTGTAGCAGCGTGACGCGGGCCCGCGCGGCGCGCTCCACCGTCGTCGGGCGCCGCCCTGCTGCCCAGCCGCCAAGAGCTCTGCCCCTGCCGCGCCTGCGCTTGCTCTTCCCAGCCCAAAATCTTGCTTTCCTGTGGACGGCACAGGCTTCGCCCTGACCACAAAACGCCCCTCCACAAAGCAGCATGGCCCCGAGCTCCCCACACCCTGCACGCTGCGCAGATGGCTACCGGCCGCAGCTGCCGTCGCACTGGCCAGAGGACGTGACTAAGCTGGTGGACAGCTGCTGGGCAGCTGACCCCGGGGAGCGGCCCAGCATGGAGGCGGTGTCGCAGGTGCGGGCTGAGGCCTGGGCTTTTGGGATCACACAATGCCGTTGGTGGGGCCTGAAACCTCGGCTTTCAAATCGATTACGGGGTGTGTCAGGTCAGGCGTCGGCTGGGGTGTGCAGGCTCGCGGGCACGGGTGCAGGCAGGGGGCCTGGTGGCCATGCCTACTCGTCCTGTGCCCCGCTGGCGTGGCTGGGCATGCACATGTGCACGCGCACACGCGCCGCGTGTGTGGGGCGCCGCGCCGATCGTGCGTGCGCGCCAAAAAGCGAGGGTCCCAGCAGAGTGCGCCCCGCCGGCGCGAGCCGCCCAGATGCCGTGCCCCCCGAGCGCCAGGCCTCCCCGTCACGCGGCCTCCATGAAGCCCCCCCTTCCCCGCACGCGTTTACACACCACCATACGTTCCTAGCCCTCACAGGCGAAGCCTTTCGGTGCCTGACCCCCTCTCCCACCCCAAACACACACACACACACACACACACACACACAAACACACACCACCACCACCAGGCCCTGGCAGCGATGCTCAAGGACCGCAAGATGGTGAAGCTGCTCGACTCGGAGCTTCCCGCCAACATGCCGCAGGCCACGACCTGCGCCTGCGCCATAAGCTAGGGCGGCGCGCGCACGCGCAGGCGCCAGGCTCGGCGGCAACTTCCTCCAGGGGATGGAGGTGGCGGGGACCGCACAGGCGGCTGGGCTACCCCCCCCCCCTAGCTCTAGGCAGCGGCAAGCACCACCGTTGGCTTCGCAGCCTGTTGGTTCATTGAGGCAGCATGAGCAAGTTGGGTGACCCCAGCGTTGCGCCGCCGCCGCGCGGGGGCCCGGATGGCCGCGGCCGCGGCGCACGTGCCGCGGCCGTCGTGCCCTCACTCCTACCCTGCTTCTGTAGTATCCACGCACATGCATGTATGCAGGCCACACCGGGGGTGCCATGCACCGCCGTGCGATCGGCACGACTCATCACGGACGCTGCCACTTGGGCGGCGCGCGCTCGTGCCTTGCACATGCGCGGAATCGTGCGCGCCACAGAGCCCACGCCCTGCTGAGGCGGCTCGATGCGGCGGGCTCATGCCCACGATCAAAACCCCACATTGGTGGTCTTGGACGGTTGCGTACCTTGGTTGTTGTTTTATCTCATGTGTGGCACCATGCCCTTTGTTGTGTGGACACGCGGCCCGTCTTGGAAATCATAAGGGCAGGGCCTCGGCCTGCCTGCCTGCGCGCTGCTGCTGACTCAGCAAGATTGACAACCAAAACGCCCTCAATGGACGCCCCCTGTGCGGCCCGCCATACTTGCCGGGGACCAAAAAGGGCGGATGTGCGCCCCGTCTAGCCAGCCCCAGGCGTGGCTCTTCTGTGGGGCAAGGTCAACGGACCGGTCAACTGCAACTTCCGTTGTTTCATTCATTGCCCAGTTCCTCGGAACCGCCGCTGTCGCTGTAACAGCCCGGTCGGTTGCTGCGAACTGCACAGAGACCCAGAGCGCTGGACCCCTTGCCAAGGTCCTGGCCCTTTCAGGGGTGCTTGCGTGGAGGAATATGCAAGTGTGCGTGTTACCCAATGAATCGGGCGCAGGCATAGACAAGCGAGCGCCCGTTGGCAGAAGCAAAATGCCATGTTTGGGATGCCGGCGACGGTTCTGGTTTCGTGGCAGAGCGCGGCAGCCGTCGCGCGCAGTGGCGTGGCGGATTCAGCAGAACGGGATGTCATGACAAGCGCAGTGCCGCCGTGAAAAGCTTGCAGCATGCTATAAAATGGAAAGAAGTCAGCAGGCTATCTGCTAGCGCATGCTGCGTGGCGCAGCGCGAGGGCGGTTCGGCGCGGCACACGCAGAGAAAAAAAGCATGTACAGGATGGGGTCGCCCGCTCGCAGGCTGGTGCGTCCCTGGCTCAGCGGCGCCAGTTTGAGTTGTAGCCGTACCAACCATAAGACGCCATCTGGGTGCGGTCGGCGGCGTCTAGCACGGCGGCCTGGGTGGCAAAGGGCCCGGCGGGCCCGGCGGCCTGCTCGATGGACGCCTGCGTGCTCATCATCCCCAGGCCGGCGCCCATCTCGTCGCCGCTCCACGGGCGCGCGGCGGCGGAGAGGGCGCCGAGGAGCGGCGAGCAAGGGCGTGGGC